ACAGATGAGGCGAAGCTATGAGGAAAAGCACAGAGAGCAGAACGTTACATATTGAACTAACAGATTCTGGGAGAATAGAGATAGAATGATGAAAAAGGGGTCCCTATGTCCTCCAGCAGTCTAAGCCTATAGCAGCAGAACTATAGAGATAGCTCAGGATAGCTGAAACTGTTCTTCTCATGAGTTAAATTGTGTGTCTGCAGGTTGTCAGGCTGTCTGATCTCAGAGGAAGGCTGTGCTTCTCTGGCCTCAGCTCTGAGCTCCAACCCCTCCCATCTGAAAGAGTTGGACCTGAGCTACAATCATCCAGGAGAGTCAGGAGTGAAGTCGCTGTTGGCTGGACTGAAGGATCCAGACTGGAGACTGGAAGATCTCAGGTATGGAGGAACCTGCTGCAGGTGCAGAGAGGAAGAGGAGAAATGTGGTTCCTGACCTTTAATCAGTCTGACAGAGAACAGTGTTAGGCCATCTAAATACGTTACCATTGTTTTAAAACCTCAAAGTTTTAGTTTAACAGGATGTGTGTCAGTTCTGGGAGGGAATTAAAGTGGAGACAAACATTCAGAGTGTTTGGAGTCGTGAGATTTAGCCTGGCCATTTAATTGAGTCAGAGAGTAAAGTTTGGGTGATGATGTTGGCTGATGAGTCTGCATTTTATCAAAATTATAACCTGCAATTTGCTCTTAAAATGAACTATAGGTAACAATTACACTCCTTGGAAAAAGCTGAATCAGCTCAGCTTAAAGCTATAGATATTCATTCATATGTAGTGAATTTAATCCCTTTAAGGACTATGATATTTAATAGAAATTCACCAAGACACATTTCCTCATTTTGGATATAAAAATATAAAGATGTTTTGCCTGGTCCGACCGACCAACCTTTATTGTCAACTACAATTTACATTGCAATCAAGATTTTACTGTCAGTATCAGCATTAAAGCCTCTAAGGTTATATTGGACCAATAAAATGTGTTTCTTTCACTCTGAGTGTTTTTCATGAATTTCTTCTAGAAGCACTTTTGTTATTTTTCTTAATATATTCGGGCAACTTGGCGTTTCTGCTAATTACATTGACAGTCATTTTTACCATCAAAATTTCTGTATTTTTATAATGTTCCAAAGGAAATAAGGTCTTATCCTGGATTCCAGTAAAACTATTGGCTGGAAATTTAGATTTTCAAAGGATCTCACTGAGCGCCCTATAAAGGGTTAAGAAAGATTTCACTGAATAATCATCTCCCTGCTTTAGGGGCAAATAGATCTGGTAGTCATCAGAATAAAAATGGAAATCAATCCCATGTTTTCCTCCATATTATCTTCCTAAATCAGAATTTGGGGTGGCTAAGTATATGCCCAGACTTCCTCAGCACTACAAACCCAAGTAAGAACTAAAATAACACTCCCAGTGCATGCAAAATATTATCTAGTCTGCGACTCCCGCACAGCTCTGTTAAGCTGGACTCTGTTGAACAGCTTAATGTCAGACTGAAGTCTCATCTGTGACAGCTTGCTACGGAGCCCCTCTGATGACATGGTCAAAAAAAATGTTTAATTGTGGCCACGAAGTAGTATTTCGCGGCCACGCAATAAGT